TGTAACTGGGTCTATATCTTCAGTTTTACTTAATCTTTATGTGCATACAAGTATCCCCTAAAATAGCATAAATGTTCATTCTGAGGAGTAGTCAGCAGATCAGCTAAGGAATTAATCTTCTCCAGAGGCCTGGAATAGAGCAGACTTTTCAAAAGCATGTTTCTCACTTGCGTGTTACAATCACAGTCACAAATAGTAAGGAGGATGTTTTCCTGACATCTCTATAGCCCCAAAGGAGGCAAACATGCAACATCTGTAATCAGCTGTTCAGTAGAGGAATACCAAGAGAAGCAACACACCTGCTCTGTTTGAAGTGTCAAGCACATGCTCCATCAGCTCCCAGACTACATTTGCAAACAGAAAATGAGATTCCTCTGCCCTAATTCAGTCTATGCTCATCACCCTAAACTCCCCTGACAACCAACAGGTAAAACCAGGCACCATTAGAAATTAGTGACGAGCAACTATCTCCAGATGAACCTCAGAAAGTATCCATTTCTAAACTCTGGATGCCTAAAATTAGGGGAGAGAAATCATATAGTGAACGACTGGAAGAGAATTGCATGCCCTGAACACCCATTTTTCTTTAGTGTTTTGCAAATGAAGGATGACAAGATCCTTCCCTTGAGAAATTAGTCCCATAAAGGCCCAGGCCTCCTCAGGGCATATTCTTATTTCAATGCCTAGTTTTCCAGAGTGCTGAAAATGATCTTTTATCTTTTATGGATGGTATTCCCTAGGTCAGAGTAAAGACATAAGCAAGAGAACGCAGGAGAGAATAGAGCGGAACCACGGAAGGAGAGCTAAGGATGCTACATTTTATTCTGTTGAACCACCTTTGCCAAATTAACATGATGAATGCAGGAAGCAGCTCCAGCTTCCATCTCCAGCAGAGGCCCATCATCAACCAAACTCCTTTTCAGGAATGCCATGGATCTGAGGCAATCACTCAGCAGCGTACATGCCAAACACATGCATATCTTCAGTTCAAGCTCTCTGAGGTACACAGAGAATCAGAATAAAATATTTTTTAGGGAGAAAAATAAATATATATATATATATGAAAAGAAGAGCTGTGATCTCCTTTAGCTCTTTTATATTTGAGCTGAAAGACAAGATGCACCTAAAAATGCATGCTGAAGAGGCAGTGTGAGATATTTGGACATAAGGAGACCAATTTGGAGCTGAAAGGCAGTCCTCCAAGTGACAGTAAGAAGCAGTAGCTGAATTTTTGCTTTCACTGATGAGACTGTAAAACGTGAGACAAACTCCTGTAAAGTCTTCACATAAACCTGGAGAAGAGACATGGAGTGTTCTCTGTGTAAGGAATTAGAGAAACATCAGGAGAAAAAGTAAATGGTATGGTTGTAGAACCCAAGACAGGACAAGGAAAGCAGGACGCTTTGTAGGAGATGACAATGAGGAGCTTTGATTATAAAAAGTCATCATAGATATAAACAAAAGCATATTTAGTGAAGATTGAAACAGAGAAATATGACTAAAAGAGCATAAAAAGGAGGAAAAAAAATCCATTTGATGAATGTAAACAACTTCTCAGGAAGTGAAAAGTAACTAAATGAGAGGCAGAGTTTTGAAGGATTTTGCCCAGAGTGACAAATGGAGTCAAGGACTACTGTTTTAAGATGAAGGGACTAAAGAATGTTTATATTTTGAAGAGTGAGAGGAAGGAGAAGAAAAAAGATATAAGTTTATTGATTATCATATAAATGCAGGGTGGAAGACACAAATTGGTCAAATTGGACAAAAATTGAGAGAAGAGAGAGAAGAGCTGAGAAGTTAGAACTGAGAAGAGAAGAGTCAAACACTTCTACATGAAGCGGTTTTGCATACAGAACTCAGAAAAACCACAGAACTGAGACCCAGCCTTCGGGAAGTGGTTGACTCCTTTAAGTGGATAGTCAACTCTTTTTTAATTTCCTTTTTAAGATCCAGGTTACCTAATTCCCATACTATTTTATCCAAGAGCTCATATCATCAACTTCTAGAGCAAAAGTATGTGACATATCCCTTCTTGAACAATAAAATGTGCCTGTTGCTATGTTATGTTATAGGAAAAGGGCAAATCAATAGTGGGCAGTATCTGGTTGAAACAAATCTCTTCATTTCAGCTTTTACTCCTTCATGATGTAAATTTAGGAGTGATTTTTGAATACATAATGAACTCCAGTTGGTCTTGCACTATAAATCTTTGGCAGGCTGGAAGGGAGAGAGGTCTGATATTGCCCACTCACCTTTCTGCCCACCATGGGATGAATACCACTGCTGACTGTCTGAAAACTCCTACAGAGTTTATAAGATAGGTTAGATAATGATGGAGCTTTCATAGTGTCCCTAGCAGTCTGTTCCAGTCCGTAACATCTCCTAACCATTAGAACGCAGAAGTTCTTTCAAATGTCTGATTTAAATGTCCTTGCAGTTTAGTTTCTCGTTGTATCTTGTATCCAACATTAATTCGGTGAATAATTGATTCCCTTTCTCTTTGATGGTACCTTATGCACACCTAAAAACTGTATCCTTGCCTTGTCTTTCCCTGACAGACAAAAAACCCACACTTACTTCAATCTTTACTTGCAGGCCATGGGGGTTTTTAACCTGTCAGCATTCTTGCTTTTCACCCCTCGAATCTTTCCAGCTGGTTCATGTCTCTCTTGAAATGAGATGTGCAGCACTGAACACAGTATTCTAGTGGAGGCCTTACAATGCAATGTGTGGCAGCCAAACACTTTCACATGTCTCACAGACAGCATTTCAGAGGACATAACCCAGACTGCAAAACAAATTAGTAAATGAATAATGCAAAGCAACAGTAAGACACTACTGATGGAGGTTCAACTTGTTATTTTGTACAAATCATGATCCCCTTCTGTTTGACTGCTCCCTTGTTCTGTATTTGGGCAGTCTAAGCTTCTGTCTAAATATAGTACTTTTTTTTTTTTATTTACTGAACTGCACTCTACTTTCTTCAGGACACTTCACTAGTTTTCAGGATCATGTTGAATTCTGAAATGCAAGTGACTTCTTCATGTTCAGTGACATCTACAAGCTTAAAATATCAGTGAAGAGCTAGTAAAAACAATTTTTAAACATTGCTATATCTTTCATTAAGAAAACAACATTTTAGAAACTGAAACCTTAAAAAAATTTGCTAATTTACTGTGGATTCTTTCCTCTAAGCTATACTGTATTTTTTGCTGTTCAAGTAATTTACGTTTTCCACACTGCAAGTTCACAGCTCCTTCAAAACTCAAAAATTTTCTTAACATTTTAAAGAACCTTTTCCTGGGTAGGATTTGCATATGTCAGGATTTGTCTAAGGCCTGTGAAAACCAAAAGAAAATGGCTATTGATTAATAAAGTCATTGATCTAGGTGTTCCCATATGCACACTACCAACGTTTTTCAGGTCCCATCGCATGCATGATTGCTCATTTTCTGACAGTTACCCAAAATAATACTAATATTCCAAGTTTTCACCTGGACCACAAGCCAGAAGTATTTTATCAGCTACCAAAGACCTCAGAGCTATTGCTAAGGCTGACTCTATAGTCCCCATTAAGAGCTAGCTCAACAGCACTAACCCTTGAAATTAACTGCGTTGTTTTATTCATTACAGATACTGCAGAGGTAAGAAAATGAGAACAACCTCTACTGAATAGGGTAGATCATTAAGCACATCTTAATTAACTGTTTTTAAAACTAATTTTAGAAATTCTAAAACATGAGGGGTTAAAAGTATCTTATAGACCCATTGTGCCATCAACCTTCCAAAATGTGAATCCTTTGGAAATGCCACTTGACTTCATACCAAATGCAGTGGCAGATGGCAATTACTTTTAAAATTTGACTAGAGAAGTAGCTACCTCTACTTGTTGTCTATCAGTTTTTTTAGCATCCACACAGCATATAAGTGACCAAGTTCCATTTCTCCTTGTCTGAAAGCTAGTCAAACTCATGTCTAACACCTCCAGAATGAGTCCTAGTTATCCAGTTGTCCTTAAAAGGTCGGGGAGAGGGATGATCTTTATCATTCTGGTGGACATATGGTCCATAAATGAAATCAGGATTCAGGGGCTAGAAAACAGATACATGACTCTAGCATAATGGCTGGGAAGAGATGACAACAATTTCATGTCACATGTATCCTCATTTCTCAGCAAACTGTTCCTCTGGCAGTGAAAGACCCCAACAAGGGCAGAGCTAATTTTCCTCATGAGCAACATCTCAACTTCTGTTATATGTCCTGTAGGGCTGCTTGGGATCTCATGCCCAGAAATAGAGGACAGCAACCAAGTCCACAGCACTTGCACCCCTTTAGGGATCCTGATTGGAGTCCTTTGCCGTGTTACTCCCTGAACCTTTTAGCCATATGTGACCAACCATTCTCAGGCACACTTGGACCACCAAGCATGCGGTCATCAGCTATCACATCTTCAGTGTCAATACCTCTGATCACCTGCAAGGAAGCAGGAAAAGCAGATCTGATTTCTACTGTGTCATTAGAAAAGCTGGCTAAGAGATGGATGTGATCAGACCAGGGTTCTCTCCTCCCCCTCATTTTGCTCATTGCTGCCCTTTTATAAACCCCTTGCTACTACGGACACGACCAGTGTATTTGCCTGGGCTCATTTCTCCCACGTTTACCCCCTCCGACGGCCGTGGGCCCCCTGGTACGGACCTGGGCACGCCACTTCTGTGGGGCTGGAGCCGCCCCCCTGCTCTGCCCACGGTGGGGCTGTGACACCCATCCACGGCAGCCCTGGACCGGCGGCGGGCGGGCGGCTGAGAGGGTCGGCAGCAGCTGCACCACAGAGCCCGGGAGTCCCATTTCTGCCGCGTCCGGCGGGTTGCCGGGGGGAGTCTGTCCTGTCGGTGTGAGGGACGCTCCCGCCCGCCCGCCGAGCCGGGAGTCCCGCTCCGGGCGGCTTGCTCACGGTGACCGCGGGCTGCGAACGTCAGGGAGGAACCCGTCACCATCGGGAGATGCCGGCATATATAGGGGATGCAGGGGATTCGCCAGCGCCGGTCGATCCCAGCCGCTCCGCGCCGGGCAGCGGGCTCCGCAGAGCCATGGCCCCCGCCCGGGCGGCGGGGCGAGCAGGTGAGGGCGGCGGGGCCGGGAGGCCGGGGGCGGGCGGGCTGGCTGGACATCCCGACAGCCCGCACTTCCCGACGCCGCCACGCTCTTCGCAGGTGCCGTCGCGGCGCTGGCGCTGCTGTGGCTGCTGGTCTGCGGCCCGGGGGACTCCGGCTGCCACCTTCTGACCGTGGCCGATCTCTTCGACCGGGTGATCCGGCACTCGGGCAGGATCCACAGCCTCTCTACGACGCTCTACACCGAGCTAGTGAGTGCCAGGCCGGTCCCTCTGCAGCGGAGCGGGGCTGCGCCGCCCTGGGAGCGGCTGCCGGCGGGGCAGATGGGGGAGGAAATGGGGGGATGGAGGGCAGTGGTAGTAGTCTCGGTATATGTTTACGTTTTCTTCCCCCGTAGGAAAAACACTTTCCTCCCCGTGACAATGAGCTGGGAAAGCCCGCTCGAAAGTGCCACACGTCGGGGATGCTGACCCCCAACGGCAAAGAATACGCCCAAAAAATCCCGGTAAGGGGGGAAGGCGGCGGGCAGAGACAGGGCTGAAGGGGATACAACGGGGCTTGAGGGGCTGGAAGAGGACTCCGCGGGTCACACTGCCTCCTTTCTCTCTTCTGAAGAAAGGGGAAAATACCTCCCGTCCCGTCGGAACACCCAAATTCATCACACTGTGATGATTCCCTTCGGGCTGGAGATAGGCAGAGAGGCTTTTATGTCGCCGGAGCTTCATCAATAATGGAAGGAAGAAGCTGCTAAGTTTTGACCCCAAACAGGTGCACATCATAGAAGTACTGCATATGAATCATTAGTTTGTTGTATTTTAAAAGCTGCATATGGTTATCTATTCTCGGATCATAATATTAGTTCTAATAAGGATATTGAAGTAGTAGTTTGTCAAAATGACTGAGAGACAGACATCTTTTGATTTTGTTGTGGCAATCTCTGTGGAATGGAAACTTAGAACACACCCTGTGTGTATGTGGCAGAGAAGTTAAATTAATCAGTGTCACTGCAAAGTACAAAAAGCAATCAGGAGAAAGAAACAACAGTCATTATCTCAACTGATAAGGGGAAAAGAACAGCAAATTGGTTTAGACAGTCATAATGGCAAAGAGAAAAAAATCATTATTAGTTTAAAGAAGAGCCAGAAGAGTTTCTTCAGACAGAGAAAAAGCAAATTGTGAAGTCAGGGATACAGCAATGAGAGAAACTTTTGCCTCTTGGAAGAGACAGACAAAGACAAATGTTAACGTTTTTGATTTTGGTCGTGATGGAGCGAGGAGCTTCGCCCAAGATGCCCAGAAGGTCCCCTGGAATGGCAAAGGGAGATGAGGCCTTGCCCCTGTTAGCTGAAAACTAGACAAATACTACTTCTGGGTGTTATTATATATAAGCAAATAACCAGTGAGAGAGTGGCCTTTAAGTATTGAATTGCAGATATAAATCTTAATCCTGCTGAGATTTCACAATGAGTCTGTTTAACATTATTCATATGATCTACTGCAAAGTAACAGAGCTTTATGGTTTTAATTTATAAGAGAGAAGAACTAACTCACTTGATACTGAAACTTTTGCAAGCCTGGAAAGAACCACTTTCCCACTTTAACCAGCATATTGAGCACCATCAAGAGCTACCTGATGACAGCCTTAGCAAAGCTAAGCAAATCAGCAATATGGTACATGAGCTGAAGACTGGAGTTGAGAAAGTAACAAAAAAGGTAAGATTTTTGATGTAGCTTTTATTTATACCAGTTATGTGGCATGACTGACTTTGGGGAGGGGGCAGTGTCTGCTCCCACTTGGGCTTGAAGGCTCTGATCCAGAAAAATGCTGGTCTTTGTTACAGATACAGGCACCTTTGTGTCAAAGGATATGACTTAGTTTATCGATTGGCACATACATAAATGGTATTATAGATTTCGATATCTGACAAGCAATATTTAGTAATATTAAATATATGAAAGAAAGACACAAGTACAAAGACTAGAGCCTTCTACAGCTTCACATATGAGCCACTTGACCTTTCTAGGGTAGTAGAGGAGATGTGGGTAGGGCATGATAAATGCTTAATTGTTTTCAGTTTTATTTGGATTTACATTCTAAGTAATTCAAGTATCACTGCTGTCTGCTGAAAAGAGCTCTTTCCTAAGGCAATAATTTTATGCTGGGATAAGTTCTCCAAGACAACAGTGACATTGCTTAAGTCCAGTGCCAATCACAAAACAATTTCAAAACTCCATTCCAAATTCTGGCAGATCATATATAAACTATAGGATGTATTTTTGTTATTTCCATTTCTGTCTTCTCATTACTAGCTAGTAGTCCTGATCTTTGCATTTCTTGTGCATTCATATCTAAACTTATTTGTAGTTTTGGCTAAATCAATGAAGGCTGTGTGCCCATTCTCCGCAATGGCCACACTGCCAAGGTGCCCATTTCACCACAAAAAGTGATTAACAAACTAGTATCTTACACTAGTAGATCACCTTTCAGCTTTATGAAAGGTGAGTTTTAAAATGGTAAGTAGCTTATTACTAGGATAGACTGAATTGTACCCTGCTCTAAAATGCATCCCTGATTAGGGTCACTCAGAGCTACAAATAGAAACCCTGTTTTCCAAATGCAGCAATGGTTTAGGGTTAAAATGGCCTTAAAATTCAGACGTGTTCAACCTCAAAGCCTGACCTTTGCTTCATTCTGTAGCTGAAGCAAGCCATCAAACTCTAAATTAGCTACACACTTTTTGTATATTTACTTGCTTTATTTTATCTAAAACACCTTTGAAGGAATTACTAAGAAGGAAAGCTTTGAAGTATTGACCTCTCTTTACTATGGACTTACCACAGGTTAGGAATATAATTACAAAAATTAAGCAAACAATGCAAATGCATTCCATATTTTGCAGCTGTGTTTTTCTGTAAGACAGAAAAATTCTAAACTTGCTTCTGTTGTGAAGCTCCTACTCTGAGAGGTGATCACAGTCTGCACAGTTCACCAGGTTAAGCAGCACTGGTGGATGCTCACATTAGAAGCTTCCCTTCACAAAGCTCATTAAAATAAATGGCTAAAAAATCTCAAGACAGATTTGCTATAATTCTTCAAGAGGATTACCAAACAGGGGTTCCTCTACTTAAACTCAGATGGAGCTACATCCCAGTATTCATTACTAGAATATCAAATCATTTCAGTCTAGTCTAAAGGTTGTATAGATACCATAAGGATAAAAAATGTTTTTCTATGTAAGGAGCTTTACATATATCTTCAATAAGTATGTGAAAGATCTGGAGTAGCACATCCCAACATAGTGATGCCTCAGTTGACTTCTGCACTAGCATTTTCAAGATTCGTTGTATGTGTAGTTACAAATTGTTCTTCTTTTCCTGATTTCAATACAGATGCAGTCAATGGGGATCATCAGCAACTCGTTAAATGGAATGGCATCATCTGAAGGCACTGGTTTATCAATTAGTAATGAAGCAAACATGATGAGTGACTCTGACTTCATCCACTGTTTCAGGAGAGACTCCAATAAAGTACAAAGCTACTTAAAAATTCTCAAATGTAGGATTATGCCAGAAAATAGTTGCTGAATTGTAATCCCTTGACAAGTAGTCTTCAGCATGTTGCTTATAAAGATACAAAAATAGAACTTATAAATCATCACATTTACAATAATTTTAATGGGAAAGTGGTTTTGAAATCCTTTGGCAGCTATTTGACACAGTTGACCAATGTAGATGAAATACTAAATAAAGCATTATGTGTGTATGTGGGTTAATGGACCTGATAAAAAGGAGTACTCTAGCAGTAGATAAATAAATGTCCTTGTACGTTACACTGTGACAGACTATATTATGGCTGATTCACAGTTTAGATATATACATAGAATCATAGAAAAGCTTGCGCTGGAAGGAACCTTAACAATCATTTTGTTACAATCCCCCTGCCATGAGCGGGGACACTTTCAACTAGATCAGGTTGCTTAGGTCCCCATCCAACCTGGCCTTGAACAGTTCCAGGGATGGGGCATCCACGACTTCTCTAGGCAACCTATTCCAGTGCCTCATCACCCTCTTGAGTAAAGAACGTCTTCCTAACATCTCATCTAAATCTCTCCTCTTTTACTTTAAAACCATTACCCCTTGTCCTATCACTGTTTGCCCATGTATAAAGCAACTCTCTCTTTTTTATAAGCCCTTTTTAAGTCCTGGAAGGCCACAATGAAGTCTCCCTGAAGCCTTCTCTTCTCCAGGCTTAACAACCGTAACTCTCTCAGACTGTCTTCATGAGGTTCTCGTGGGCCCACTTCTCAAGTTTTTCCAGGTTCTTCTGAATGGCATCCCATCCTTCTGTCACGTCAGCCGCATTGCTCAGCTTAATGTCATTTGCAAACTCACTGAGGGCGCCCTCAGTCTCACTGTCTGTGTCATTGATGCATATATTGAAGAGCACCAGTCCCAAGACAGAGCCCTGAGGAACACCACTTGTCACTGGCCTCCCCCGAGACATAAGAGCCAGTGACCACAACTCTGGCTGCATCCATCCAGGCAATTCCTTATCCACCAACTAGGCCCCCCTTCAAACCCATGTCTCTCCAATTTGGAGATAAGGGTGTCATGTGGGACACTGTGGAAAGCTTTACAGAAACTGAAACGTAGTTGAAAGTGAGATTCAATTTGTTAAACCTTGGTACAAATACATCTATGTACTATCAATAAAGTATACTTTTATGTAAAGAAAACATTTCCCCCCTTTTATACATACCCACCTGCAGAATATTGCTTAACACTGAAGAGTGGCATTGATGTTGATCAGTTGATGTAACTGTAGGGCCCATGGCAGTACATCGTACTTCTTAATCATTTTGATGGGCTTTCACATGTGTCCTGTAAGATCTAGCTCCTAGCACTTTTATTAATTTTGAATGCCCTTTTATACCTGTAATGTCTTCACTGATTTTAGTAGAAACTCCTAAAGAAAAGGTTTTCCTGCTAAAAGTAAGTCAGAATTCTGGTCCAAATAGCATTACAGTCCAAGGGCTGAACATGGTGTAACAATAAGTCTTTTTCCCATTCCACATGCTGACACAGGGTTTGGGTTTTACAGTAATGATGACAAACTCCCTAGAAAATAAACATGTGAAAGCTGTCAGATATTTTATGGAAATCACATTTTCCTAGCAGCAGGGGGGTACTGATGGCTGTGCATAGAACAAAATTTCTTTGCATTCAGATCCTGAATGAGCCATTTGAACAAGCAGTTACAATCAACATGGATTTATCTTTAATATTCTTGACTATTTCATCCCCAAATGCTCTTTTCTGTCCTTCCCTGATCTTGATGGTTGCTGACAGTAGATGGAACTCAGACAACCAAGAATGGAGAGTAAAATGCTGATGATTATTTAATAATGATACTGAATTTGGGGAAGCAGGGGAAGACTTCAGAGAAGCATTTATGCAGACCAGAGGAACAACCTTTTCAGTTACATCTCCATAACTGCCAGTATTCTCAGGTATCTACTGTCTGGTGGACAGCTGACATACTTTTGCAGCTAGAAGCTGTTGAGTGTTCACAATTCATGTCTCGTGTCTGCTGTGTCAGGTATGGTAGAAGGGCAAGGGGTTACATCATGCCTGCCCTTCAGTTCCTAGCTGCAGTTCCTTCAGCAGTAAGATACTACAAATACATAACAAAATAGCAGCACTCGTGTGCAAATTTTGAAGAAATTCTGGAAACAAAACACAGCTCCAAAGACAGCAAAGGCAGGCTCCTCTGGGCAAACTAACAGGACCAGAGGGGCATGCCACACTTGCCTGCATCTACCTGTGATCACGGAAGATGTAGTAGCAATTAAGAGCTGTAGCATCTATCCTGTCACCTTGTGTGTCCGCAGTCCCGCAGTACAGCAGCCCGCTGGCGGTGAGTGCCTCCCACGCCAGCGAGGGGCTATCGCTGGCTCCCGAAGCCTGAAGCGGGGCCGGCGCGCGTTCATTGAGGAGACAAGCGGTGCCATGGTGCAATGCCGCCGCATACCGGCAAAGACACCCCAGTCATCCTGCGTCAGAGGCCAGAGGTGACAGACACGAGAAGGGTCGAAGACGCTGACGGAGGGAAGCTCCCTCCTGGACAGGCTCTGTCCCGTCCCATCCCGCCTCCTCCCGTCCCGCCCCGCTCCCGGGCCGTGTTCCCACAGGAGGTGGCCCGTGGCCCCCATGGCCCTGCTTGTGGCGCTCAGAGCGAGTTACAAGATCACTCAGAAATCAACCGTAATGACAGCTGAAAGGACCTCCCAGGGGTTGTGGCTGACGATCAGGTGGAAAACATGTCGAAGACGGAGGAGATCATACAAATAACTCGTCTCCTTCAAAGCGCTAAACCCTGGGAACGCTTTTCAGTACAGAAATGTAAAAGCAGAGAAAATGAGGAAGTAGGTGGCACATGAGGAACAACAATGCATCAAAGTATTAATCTGCTGCTAGGTTGGGCAATGAGATCCCTCTGTCACCAGCACAGCCTGAGGGTATGTAAGCCTGCAGCTTGGGTAATGAAGCAAGTACTGAGTCTCAGTCAGTTCTCCCTTTCCCTGTTTTATCGTGTATTACTTTAGCATTGATATGTTGCCGCACCAAACAGAGAGGTGCCCATCAAGTATCTGCCTTGTTTGTGACCTCTGAAGAGTTGAGCTTTTTAACTGCATTCGCAATTTGAGGTACTCGAACCTTCCCCAGCCCCAGGATCCCAATAAATGTCCTTCATAATACTCCACAGCCTGTATAGTATAGTCTTTAAATGCTACACATGGAAATACCTCAGACACCCTACAACCATGCAGCAAGGTCACCCATCAGGTCAAATCTTTGAAGTCAAAGTATTACGTTCCTAGTTTTAAGTGGGAGGTGTCATTGGTATCCACCACGTCACTCCATTATAGCAGATGCACTCTACGCCTTACACCTCTGCAATGTGTCTCTTACAAAGTACTTCTAGTACCTGCTGGGGATTTTGCATATAATTTGTGCTCTCTTTTTTCTTTCTAAAACTAGTATGCATACATTATTTGAAGAAAACAAATACTACTTGATCCTTCACAAAGAAAAGACTGGCATTGTAAAGATACTTTTATATTCATACGGGGTGCTGTTTCTCATTTACCAAGTTTTTACAGTATGGACTGAAGGGAAACTTCTTCTTTAAATAGCACTAAATGAGAGGAATCAGGGTTATATGTGTTATGGGACAAAATCCATTTTAACTAATTGAATTAGATTATTTCAGATATAGTTCAAGATTTACATGTATACTTCTAGGTTTTTAAGATAGCTTGATCAGCATTTTCAAGTAAAGAATGTTTCACCTGGCATACTGAAACTATTCTAGCTGTGGAATAAGAATGCTGATAGGAGATATTAAGAGATTTGGAGGACTATCAGATGGTGTAAGTTTTAACAAGCTACAGTGAAATCAGAATTTATTCAATTTAAAACGTCTCATATTACAACTGTGAAACCAATTCTGTGTAAGCCTTGGTTGATCTTTGCCTCAGTGAGACATCTTTCACATGTATTCTGTTCAGCACATCAGCCCACAGTTTTGACAGCAGTTCATATTTTGTGCTTATAACACCATCAACTGAAAGAATTTCCCAGAGAGCACTCTGAATTGCATCTCCCCTGTCCAAAAGTGTTGCTTCTAACACTAATGCTTGACTGACCTGCAGTAAAAGAATATGAGCAGCTGTGAAGACTCCCTTTCCATTAAAGGTGAGATGGAAAAACCCCAATCACCCCCACCATACACTGATTTCCTCCCAAATGGGAAGCACTGACGAATACACAGACACATGTACCACTGCTTGATCATTCGAGAGTAATTTGGAGATATCTGCAATCCCATTTCACAAGTATCTGGGCCACCAACTTTTGCTGGTCCTTCAGCAGGACTATGACTTCAACAAGACAATTGGACAGTAAATTCATCCCCATGTGTACACAATCTGTCTGTTCCCCAAAAGGCTTTAGGCAGAATCTGAGCTGGTTCTGGGATTTCAACTGCAAGATAGGAATAATCTCCTGACATTACTGAACAGCATATAACACATGGCATACCAAATGTGTTCAAGGGCCTTCTGAGGGTAGGTATCCAGGCAGCTTACACTGATGAAGGTTTGTAACTGAAGGAAAAGGTAACTTTTTAATTTTTGTGTAATTGCTTTTTTTCTTTAAATCAAGCATAGGAAATCCCATGCAAGGAATGACACATAAGGCAAGATTAGGACTGCAGTTGGTGACTGAGAAGGCAGGATGTGCACAAGGTGAGATACAAAACTCACCTGATCATGTAAAATTTTATGATACAAGCTTCATCATACAATCTCAAGTTTTTTAGCTGCAAATGTATCTAAACTTCACCTCCCAGATGTAATAAGGGGAATGTAACATGGGGAATATACAATGTAACAAGGGGAATGTAACTTGGGGAATATACAATGTAACAAGGGGAATGGTAGATCATCTATCAAAAGGTAAAACATTAAGTAACAATTGTATGGCTTTTTGAAAGATGTACAATACAGTTCAAAAGATTTGTAGCTCAAGACAAGAATAATCAGAAACATTCATGGCATGTATGATGAGAAAAGCCAGACTATATTGTCATAATCATCTCTTTTGCCTATAAAAGATATGAATGCCAGAAAGTAAACAGTCCCTATA